TTTCCATTATTACCCTTTTAATTTTAAATTTTTTTGAATCTTTTTAAATTTTAATTTTAATTTTAAAAATCTTTTAATTTTATTTTTTTTCACCATATGTGGTTATTGAGTTGTTCTCGCGTTTTCGTAAATCACAGGGGTTCTCGTTTGAACCCTTCCCTAATTATATATATATATATATATATATATAGAGAGAGAGAGAGAGAGAGAGAGAGAGAGTTGAGTTCACGTGAGACCAAGAGTTTTTTCTGAGACCCGTAAGACCAATTTATGTTCATTGATCAACTTTATAAGCTAATGATCTAATGGTCTAAAGTTGCACAGTAGTAATTTTGTGATTATTGAGAAGTCTCGTGACGTTTATAAATGTTTAGATTGTCAGATTTTAGATCTAATCTAAGAGTTGAGAATTGGTCTTACGGGTTTCACAAAAAACCTTTGATCTCACATGATCCCAAATCTATATTAATCAGAAACATAATCTTGACCTGATTGACTTTGACTTTTCAAACTATACCGATACATAATCTTTTCATGTGATAATTTTTCAAGATCACTGTTATAATGGATCTGTTTTTAAACTTTTTATCTAATTTTCAATATGGATAACAAATTAAATAATTAAAAGTTATAAGCCCATTTATTTAGCCCAATCCATAAATGTGTATTGGGCCTTTCTCCTAGCTAGACATTTGAGCAAATTACATAAACAGCCCTTTAGTTTAGTGAAGTATTCTTTTTGGTCCTTTAATATTATAAATAGATCATTGACCATTCGAATATATTCACTTACTTACTAGCCTCCCCAACCACCGAAGAAATACCCAAAATCCGGATAAGGGTATTGCTCGCCCAACCATGGAGCTCAAATATTTGAGCTTCATCATGTAAGTCTGTTCAACATAGCTTATGAATGTTATATAATAAGGCGGATAAATTATTAGATAAACTTTCGAACGAACCCTTTCATAGTTTATTAATCCTACACTATAGATAAGACCCTTAGAGCCAACCTTGGGTGCATCTGCTAAAGGGTGGATTTGAGTTGGGATTGGTAAACTAGTAATAACATTAGCTGATATATTTTCTTATCAAGACAACTTTTTTCACATGTAATTTGAGATTTTGAATCATTTATAGCTTTGGGTTGTAAATATGCACCATCAAAGTTGGTGATGATAAGATCAATAGAAGGCATGATAACTCATTATGTAAGTCAGCATGATGATGAAGATTAGAAAGAACGAGTTATAAGAGCATCTCTAACAGATTTTTCAAAATGTATAATCAAAAGTTAAAATCTCTAAAAAACATTACATTCGTCTCCAACAGGTCCTCATTTTGAAGAATCCAACATTGATTATTATATTAAAATAATATTTCTCTCTCTAAATATTTATTTTTAAAATTTCTTATTGGTGGTCTCATTTGGTAATCATTTTTTGTGATTCTCCATATCTGAAGAAAAAACTCTTCTCTCTCTTATTTTCTTCATTTTGAAGATAGTTTTGGAGAAGCTGTCGGAGCAAAATATTGACTTAAAATCCTCATTTTCTCCATTTTAGAGAAACTGTTGGAGATAATCTAATATGACTAAATTAGCAATTCGTGTGAATCAATTCTTTAAGCACTGAAATCAAGGGACCATAATGATACCTACAAATGTTTAGGAACTAAAAATAGAAGTTACTAAAACAATAGGGACTATTTGTGTAGTTTATCAAAATATCTTGTGTTTCATTTGGACCCAATATCTTTTGCTTTCATTGGCAAGAGTCACCACCATCCATCTTCTAAACGTGTGAATTACTTTTCTCAATTTCTAACAACTTTACACCACAAATGAAAGATTCCCCTCCCATATGTTTGGAAAGGCTGTATCTCCATCTCCAATTCTACCTTCCACTGTGTTATGAGGATTCACTATATTCCTTCATCTTCCTGTTTGCATCCAATTAAACCCCATAAAAACCCTAGAATCAATTTATTATGGACTAAAGGATTTCATCAAACACAAAATTCAACAACATTCTGCTGCTACAGATCCAACACGTAGCTTCTAATCTGTGTGTGTGTGTGTGTATATATATATGTGTGTATGTGTATATATAAACAAGATTTTCTTGATTTCTTGAACAGCAGCTACTGTTATGCATATACCACATGCCAATTGCAAGGAGAGGATTCACAGTTGAAAAGAACTTTAAAGAAACAGAATAAAGGGGATGATTCCGGTATCCCCATTGCAGTTTCCGGCACAAAAAAGGGAACTATAGCCGGTGCGGTGGCTCTGATCATTGGAACAAGTATAGGATCTGGGATACTTGCTCTTCCCAAAAGAACTTCTCCGGCGGTAACTCGTCACGCAGGGGCTTTGGAGTTCGGAAACTGTGCATCTGGAAGTCATGTTTTCCGGTGACATCCCAGATACATATGTTTTCCGGTGACCCTTATGCCTAGAACACAGCTGTGAAACTGAATCTTGAATATTACTTCACGATTAACTCTGAAATTGGCTACATTTGACTTTCTTGAACAGGGTTTGCTTCCGAGTTCAATATCTTTGATTTTGTGTTGGGGATTTCTGTTGATTGAAGCACTGCTACTAGTTGAAATCAACGTGGGTCTTCTTAAAAAGAAGGAAAACAGAGTGGAGAATGAGAATGAGAATGAGTTGGAAGTGATCTCGATTCGAACCATGGCTCAAGAGACGTTAGGTGAATTGGGTGGAACCTTAGCCACTTTGACCTACGTGTTCTTGGGGTACACATCGATGATCGCTTATGCTTCAAAATCCGGTGAAATTCTTTACCATTTCATCAAGATTCCAGAATCAGTTTCAGGGGTTTTCTTCACCATGGTCTTCGCAATTCTCATATCTGGTGGAGGAACACGCACCACAGATCAAGTGAATCAAGTTCTTACAGTCTGTATGATAGGTAACTGATGCAGGTTTCACTTCCAAAATATGAACATCTTGAAGTTCTTACAATCTCTCTGATCTGCAACAGGGTTGTTGGTAGCAATTGAGGTTCTAGCAATCTTTTATGGAGGGTGGGCAGGTTTTGAAGGCAATGGTGATTGGACAAAAGTTCCAGCAACTATTCCGGTGATGATATTTTCTTTGGTTTATCATGACCTAGCTCCTGGTAAATACCTAAAGTCAACTATCACTACAACAAAATTAGCTCTTTAGGATGTTCAACTGTTCTTGTACGTTGAATTTGTGGGACAAAAAACCAGCGAAATAATAAATTTGTTAGAACGGAGTTACACATCCTAACAAGTTCGATCTACAAAGTTGGATAATGTAACACATTATAAAAAGTATATCGTCTTACTATTTTATACGATGCTTTTATAAAAGTGTCTATATAATAGAACACTTTTCACTCATATAAAAAAGTTGATACAACAATTTACTCTTTGTATTTCAATCATTTTCAGTTCTTTGCGCGTATTTGGGCGGTGATATTGAACGTATAAGGACTTCGGTTGTTCTTGGCAGTGTTGTACCGTTGGCAGGAATCTTGATTTGGAACGCGGTAGCTCTTGGTCTCTCCAGTCAAACTGAACCAATCATCGATCCTCTCGAGTTGCTTATGAGGTAACATTCAATCTGCACATGCATTTCACTCGACTTTGTTTACTTGATTTCCGGTCTGTAAACCTGAACTCAGGCAAAGATGGGATGGAGTTCAGATTATGGTAGAGGCATTTTCACTTCTAGCAGTTGGAACATCACTATTAGGGACTCTCTTAGGCTTCTCTCAGTTCTTCAAAGAACAAATAGTCAACAATTTTACTTGGGATTCTTCTTCTCCATCACAGGAAAGTCGATCTTCTCCATCTATATCTAAAAAGTCTGCATTTTGAAGCTTTAATCTTTAACTTTTCTTGCAGAAATCCAGAACCGACTTTGGTGGGATGGTAGAAAAATGGTGGGTAAACAATAGGACCGGTTTCACAGCCACAGTTATGGTCATTGGTCCGACTCTTTTTGTGTCTACTACTGTCCCAGATGTGTTCTCTGCTGCTACAGACATTGCTGTAAGCTTGTGTATGTGTTTTCAGATGTGTTGTAGTGTGTGTAAAGAGCGTTTTTTCATGGGTGTTTTCCTAACAGGGAGGGTACTGCATGACAATGCTGTATGGAGTACTTCCGCCAGCAATGGCGTGGGCTATGCATGTTGAAGAGGAAACTGATGATAAAAAGGGGATATCAAGAACAAGACTAGCCCTATTTGGGATAGGACTATTCGCTTGTGGGATCATTCTCGAACAAATTTTTCTGGATCTTTCGATTGTTTAGTCCTAAGGGAATTTGTAATCTCAATCCAGAACGAGCAATCAATGTTACACGAGGAAAAAGAACGAATTTTTATTGAAGAAAGACTAAAAGATACAGAAAGAACCATAAGAATGCTTCAGCCAAGTGCGAGGGTAGATAAGAACGTCTTGCATACTTCAGAGATCCTTAATTGATTAGTAACTTACGGAGGTGACGTGCTTCAGAAGCATCTCGATAACATCATGTGAAATTCTATTAGATTCAATCTTCAGGTGTTGAATCTTTGCCTCTGTTTCCTTGTCAAGGCGCTTCACGTTAGCACCTGAGTCCCCACTCGACTGTATGTAATGAGTAAAATAGTTATATGCACAGATTATGCAATAATCGGATGCCATAAAAACATCAAAGTAACCATTAAGGTTCCAAAACAAGTAAGAACAGCACTCTCAAGATTTACCCTTAAAAGGCATGACATTTTCAAGATTTTGTTGAATAATTGAGAGGCATGAAGGCATCTCATGGTTCTTGTGTCCTACAGGCTACAGCTATATGATCTAAGCCAAGAATTAAAGTTTTTGGTCAAATATTTACGGGATTATGCACTCTTCAAGCTTGTAGCATTTCAGATTATGATATTTGGGTTTTCAAAGAGTTTCTTCGTGTATGATTCAGAGTCGAGGGAATGCAAAAGACGAGGTCCTACTCCGATTTTTGGTTCTTTTTTACCACAGATACTTTCTGGTTTGGAATTTGAACATTACCTCAGTGAGCTTTCTCTGAAAATCAGCTTCCATTTGAGCACGGAATTCAGCCACCTCCTTCTGAGCCTCTTCTTTGGCCTGTTTAAGTCTAGCTGACTTTGCTGAAAATAAAAACCCATAATGTATCAGAAACTAGAAATCATTGATGGTTTAGGGTTTAGAGTTTAGGGTCAGATCAGCGCAAAAAGTACAGACAGTTTCGGGCAGCATTGACAATCTGCAGAGCTTCTTGCTCAGCTGTTAACAGAAGCTGGATTCCATTATGACCCCTGCTGCCAACATCCATGTCTGCTAAGCTCTAAACACCAACAGAAGCCTATATGATTCCAAAATAAGGTCAATTTTTCGATTATTAATTCGAAGTTTAACAAGTTTCAAGAAAGAAACAATAGAAAATGAATTTATCCACACAAAAACAATCCAACAGATGCAACTCCTCGACCCATAACACCACCAGATGAATCATTATATCTAAAAGCAAATTTACGTGATTGATCTTTTTATTTAATCAAATCCTTGACCTAATAAATCCTAAGGCGCCATTGCCGAACAAGGTCGCTGTTAGGGACTTTGGGTTTGTGGTTTGATAATACTTGGATAGCTTTCTAGATCACAGTTACACCAAATGTCGATGAGACTAGAATATAAATCACGACATTCGGGGAATTTAAGTAAGCAACCCATATTGAATTGGTAAAATCGTGACACCAAGATGCAATTAGGATTACCCAGATGGTAATTACACAGATTAACCACATAAATCAAATTAACAACGATTACAAGGGATTTGCTCAGAATCGTTAAATTTGACAAAATTAACGATTCTATTTTTATCGCACTAAGTTGTAGTGAACTAGCAGGATACTGGGGAAAAGATTTAGGTTTATCTTCGATTAAAGACCAGATGAAGCAATAACTATATTCAAAACTTAATAAGATCACGAACAGAGACAAGAAGCAATGCTGATCCAAGCAAATCAGATAAACAAAAGGGAAAACCTAGAGAGAGTGAAGATGCCAAACAAATACAGCTTTATCTAATGATTTTGATGATGCCAACCAAGGAGGAGAAACTAATGATACAGATCTATCTCTCTCTGTTGTTCGCCATTTGGACCTTTCGGAGAGTTTTTGTCTTTTTGACGAAATTGGACTCTCTCCTGTTCCAACTGGAAACCGAAAGAGCTGGATTATAAAATATCATATGAAGCATTTTCATTTTAAAATTTAAAAAATTTTAGTTATAATATATTAAATATATATAGAGTTTGTTTCAAGTGTAACTCATCACATTTATACAATCAATGCAACCCAATAAATTGAAATATTAATAAATTGAAATATTTATGGAGGATGAATAAGGTTCATTAATTATGATAAATATTTTATATTAAAAAACAATCAAAATTTCTATGAAATTACATATTAATCAAATTAAATGGACAGTTGAAATTAAGTTGTATTGGTTGTACAAATGTAAGATGTTGTATAATAATCCACATATATATATATATATATATATATCATTAATATATTAAGAGTATATCCAATGGCTATACTATTATTGATATACTAGGTATTTGGAAAACAGTATTCCGACAACTATGTTCAACTTTCTGCTGGAAAGAGAGAGAGAGAGAGAGAGAGAGAGAGAGAGAGAGAAAGAGAGAGTGAGAGAAAAGGGTGAAATTCTTCAAATTTAGAGAAATTTTAAAAAATAATTACCTATGAAAAAAATATTTTTTATGCTTACTACCAATGAGAATCATTGAAGTTAAAATGTATAACAAATAAAAATAATATTTTATAAAAATATTGAATATTTTGATGATATTATTTATATTTTAGATATAAATTTTCTTTAGATATGTTCAGTTTTAGACTTATTTTTTTCAAAATTTTATTATATCTTTAAATTTATATTTCATTTAAAAATAAAAAACATTTTTTTTCTCATAACCACATAGCATTATAATATTGGTAGACCCAAAATATAAAACAAAACATTAAAATTAAGATGTATTTCACTACATTACACAAATACCCTTTTAATATATATTAAGCATGTCACACAAAAGTGCAATAATAAACCGTTGGATTGCATACATAACTAAATGAGTAAAAAATAAAGTTTTACCTTGTATTTATTGCATGGATATACAATTTCTTTAAAAAAAATCCACTACCTTAATAATATTTTATTATATTTATTTCTTTTCTGGAAAATTATATGATACATGTTTTCATGATCATATAACTATTAAAAGATATCTTAGCCTAGTTATTCGTTACGATTTTTAAATATGAGGTTGATTTTCGATGAGAATGAGAGTTAAAATAAGAAGTCTAAAAGGAATCTTCACTCTTAAATGCACATTAGGATGAGATGCACCGGATCAATCCTTTTATCAAAAACGATTCATGGGTAGGTTTGAAATTAAAGGTGATCAAAGGTTCAGAACCCTTGTTACGTTTATCACCTTAACTCTCATTCTCACACGATACTTAGCCTTTAAATATATTATCTCGTATTTATCAGTTAATTTAGCTAAAACTATCAACAGCCTAATGTGGCAATTGAAATGTAATTTTTTCTTTTAAGAAATTTAAAGATTATAAAAACTTGAAGTTGTTGATTTTGTAACTAGTTATAAGATTAATGAATCTAATATCATATAATTATTTCAATTAAACATCCAATGCATACATGTAACATGATGTTAACTTCTTTTTCTATATCATGCAAATAAGAGGTGAAAAAAAAAGCCCAAGCTCAAAACTCGGTTTAAGTCTGGCTCGAAAAACACAGGCCTAGCGAGCTTAAAGTTTTGATCCAGACAAACCTTCAAAGCCTGATCACACCAAAATTTGAGAAAGTTCGGTTAATCCTAGAAAGCCCAATAGAACTTGGTCTAGAAAAGGGGTGGGCTAATGGCACCCCATGACTTACCATCTGCACCCCTACATAGCTTTCACAATCATTTGCTTTATGGTTTTTTGTGTTTTGTTATACTTTTGTTATTATTTAATTATGGGGTGGGCTAAATGCACCCCTATGCATTGCTTAATGCACCCCTATCCATGAATTTCTTCCTCACACACATCAACATCAATACATGCTTTTTACATTCTCAATACTTGAATGACCTGATTCTGACATCAAAAGGGGTGCCATTAGCACTCCCCTTAATTAATATTTATTATTTATTTTATTTTTTGTTTTTTATTTATTTATATTATATTTTAATTAATATAGATTATTAATAAATATATATTATTTATTTTATTTTCTGTTTTTTATTTGTTTATATTATATTTTAATTAATATAAATTATTAATAAATATATTTTTTTATTAGTATATTAAATATATTTAAAATATATTTTATAATATTTAATATATAATTTTAATTAATATAAATATTAATAATAAATAAATATTAGAAATTAGACCGTGTTTGTCCAAACTCTTCTTCTATTGAAGGAGCTGATCTTTATGAGACCATCAGCAATACAAGTACTGATCAGTTGTGAGAATGGTCACTTCTTTGTGAAGATCAGTAACAGAAATCGCCATAGAAGAAGAATTTTTATGTTGAAGAAGGCGATGTAATTCTTTCATCGAGTAATCAATATTATTGATA